CTGTGCAAAAAGAAAAAAATAGAAGCTTTGTGACCTCAGTTAATAACAAGTTCTCCTGCATGTAAAATGCTCCCACATCAGCAGAAAGATGAGGCTGTGTTCACCTTCACAGCAGTGATTTGGTGTGATAGATGTGGGACGAGGTGCAGGGACGCCACAGAAGCAGAGTGGATCTTTCATTGGTGCGCAGGGGGCTGACGGGCGCAGCTCTGCAGCCTGGAAACAGAAGGCGCAAGTGAATAGATGCCCACATGTAAGGACAGAGAGAGGGAGCTGCAAATAGAAAAGAGAGAGAAAGCCCAGGCTGAATGCTGTAATGCAGCCATGAATAAGAGATGCTTTGAATGCAGCTTTGTTGATGCACACACACATAAAACACACACACTCAGCTCAGCGTTCCATTAGAGGAAACCCAGGCCATTAGTAGCTTTATCTTCTTTGTGTACAGCGCTGACAAGACTCCCCTCTCCATCACACCCCCTCTGAGCACTCTCAAAAAACATACGAGAAAACAGAATAGGCATACAAGCTGTGACACACACACACATGCAGCCAGCCCTCCTGTCTCTCTCTCTGATGCAGATGTTGTGGATGGCTCTGTTTTAGCAGTGACTTGCAAAGCAGCCTCTCAAGTCCAACGGGGAAGGGCTTGTTTTCAAAAGGCCGCCTCTCCTTTCATGCTGATGCGATGCTTCAAACGGCTGACAGTCTCTCTGAATGTGCAATTACAGAATGTTTCTGTGTCACGCCGGTTCAGCGTTCATTCACAAAAACTCTCGTCTCCTTCTGTGCAGACAAACATGCCTGTGACAGCTGACAGTGTCGCCGTGCTTCCTCCCTCTCACACGTGACACAGGCTTTGACATTAAGTGTTTTACTGACTCGCAGCAACCGCTTTACCTTTTTCTGCTGTTTCCCTTCAGAAAAAATTGCACGCTTTTGTCTTTTCTGAGATGTTACAGTTTTGACCCTTAAAAACAGAGAGAAGCATGTTGGACTGTGAGGATCTTATTGCAAAAGCTATCGTGATGCTAACAGGGGTAAAATGACCAGAATTAGCTGCATAGTTATTCACAGTAGAGCTTGTCTTCAATAAACAGCCTTGGAACATATTTATATGTGAGCGGAGCTGCTTGCACTACATGAATCTTTAGTTCGTGGATTACAGAGGATTTCAGCATTTTTCAAGTCACTGTTGCTGTTGCTGTCATTCTGATTGCTCTAAGCGCTCTCATGGTGTCACTTTTGGCAGCGAGAAGTTGCTGATTTCAACAAACATCCTCGAATGACT